CACCTATGTGGAAGAAGACATCTTGAGGGGGATGGAGGAGAAGGCCTCTAGATCTGAATCATTTTACCATGTAAATAGTGAATTTCATAAATATTTTAATGGCTGTGATGAAGAGAAAAGTGGTTTGGTTTATGAATTATTTTATCTACAGTACATGCATTCACATCATAAAGCACCCCAACCAGTGGTTTATGTTTTTTTCCGATTGAATACATAATCAATCATGCACAATATCAATCTTCCTCTGCTTCCTTTAAGTTGTCCTAGTAATTCGGGGAAACTAGCAGTGGACTTGCAAATAGGAACATCCAGCTATCCATTGACACTGCATTCATCAAACTTAATTTAAGGTTTTCCATCAACAAAACATATAACCATCTTATCTGAATGAGGAAGTAGCTAAACTCCTTCAATTTGATTGTGATTTCCTGGTGTGTGGATTGAGTGCCGTATTAAATATCCTCAATGATGTAACACAAAACAAAACTGTAATACAGCGTATTCTGCAGGGAGGTAAGGGGTGTTATACTGTAGGCCTGGATTCTTAATAACAATGAATAATTAACACACTTTCCTTCTATATTTATATCATTTACATCCATCGCCCACCTATAAATATGTAATCCAGACAAGAATAAATCAACGGAATGAGGAAGAACAAATTCAATGTTTAATAATAAACCTAAATATTTAATTTAAAAGCAAACATGTATTTTGGGGCAAAAAATATTTTTCCCCTTGTTCCGATATTCCTATTCGCTCATGTAAGTCAACAGTCGCCCACATAATATAATAAAATTTACTCGTGTTGCACATCACGAAGTAAAATGTCAAAACACTCAAAACAATAGCTAAAAATATTTCTATAATTATGAAATTATATTTTTATAGCCAACAAAATGTAATTTTATCACACTTCAAGCAAGACAACCAGAAATCAGTATTAGGTATTTTTGCATTGAACCTATCTGTAACTAGTTTTAAACACTTTGAAATATGCAAACTGCGTTAACATAAAATTTTAATTACCTACAGGTTTATTATTATTATTAAAAATATGCAGAATAACGTCATTATTTAATATGACCTTTGACATATGGACTTTGCTTGGACAAAATTTGGAGAAGGTCTAAGCATGTTAAGTGACCAAAGTGGCAGGCAGAAAAACCCTGTGCAAAAAAATATGTGATAAAAGAAGGAACAAAAATTAAAACAAAAATAATGTGTGAAAAGCTAATTATGAATGTAATAATGAAGAAAAGAAATATGCAAATCATTTAATCTATCAGAAAAATGTAGTAGGGTTTGCCAAAGTCCGCCATGTACTATTCTAGTATCTAAGTTTTAGAAATTTAAAGTACTGATCTCCGATTTGCTCTGAATCTTAAAAATTCTTTATAAATCCCAGATTCAACCAATTCTTTACTCATCCAGAAGTCTAAGTACAATTTTCACAATGTCAGCAATTTTTCAAAACAACCAAAGTTCCTACTTCCTAATATCCTTGAGGCTACTACAGATCCTCCCAATATATTTCATTCTACTCAATTTCTGCATTTCTTCCTCTACAGTTTTTCAAGCTAATATGATGTTAATTTCATTTTTATAACTTCTGAACTAAAATTTCAATGTGACAATAAATCACATTCTCCCTAAAAAGGTTTATTTTCAATTGTTTATTTACATGTTGACTTACTGTTCAATGGTTTTAACAAAATTCTAGCATTCTTTCAGCATTTTAGTAACAATCAATGTAAAGCATAAAGTGTTATATTTCCAAGACATTATAAGCTCTTACTCTAGGCCTAATTTTATAGCCTCTTTCAGACAAAGCTGTAATATTGCGGTAAGCACACGTATAGGTTTCTGTCTGAAAGATTTCATACACAATATTGCGGTAAATATTACAGCCTTGCTACTGTATATCTGAAAGGGTAAGCCGCAACCTGTGCATTGAAGCGTAACCAATAAACAAGGTTAAAGTTGACAGCGAATGTGCACGGGTTATTTATTTCTTAAATTTTTCTCCTACCACTGTCATACATCTTTGTTATCAGAAGGGTGACTGTGTATTGTACTGTTAACGTTCAAAAGCAAACAAAAAAAACAAGACAACAAAGCATTTAAAGAAAAAAACAAAACAAGCTACGCTGCAAAAATGACAGATTCCAGTGCTGAAAACCCTCTTTGTTTTAAACCGCCAATATTATTACGCCAATCTGTTTGACCTATCTGAAAGGGTCTTATGACAGATATACTGTTTTCTTCAGTTCTTTGAAAGCTCTAGCAAATCCAATTCTATGACTCAGTTTCTGAATTGCACTCTAGTAGACTGATGTTATATAAGGCAGATGCCAAGGTACAATTTCAATTTTTCCCTTTTCTATATTTAGAAATTTTGTGCACTTTCAAAATGCTGACAGACTGACTGAAATATTGGAGCATCAAAAATAATCAAACTTGGCAGGGCAAGGTTGAACTGTGCTATACCAATACCAAAATACATATAATATTTAATACAAATATAATTAAATAACTGCCAAATATAATTTTCAAGTATAAATGGCAAAACCAATTAAAATCAATCTACTGCACCAGCTAAACAAATTAATATTAGGTGCCAAGTTTTTATAATTTAATACTTTACTTTTAGGAGAAAAAAACCCTTTTTTTTCATTTAATACCTTATTTTGTTAAAAAAAAAAAAAGACGGCTTTAAAATTATTTTGCTTGTCACACAAAACAAACATTAAATACCGCAGACATTTAAAAAAGAATGATAAAATAAGAGTCAACTTCATTATTAGTGAAGTTCAATAGCTTAGTGGTAAAGATCCTTGCTTTCTAACCCAGCATCCTGGGTTCAATAGACCGATTCAGTAATGTTTGTTTACAGTCATGTGACATAAATACT